AGGGGGGGGGCCCAAAAAGTAAAGGGCCCCGTGTACAAAAAAAAAAAAAAAAAAAAAATTGGAGGGGTGAGCCAGAAAAAGCCCTGTCGGGAGACTGTTGGTGACCCCCTGGAGCAAAGACAGTGGCCTGGACCAGGGTGGTGGCAGTGGAGAGAGAAGGAAGCAGAATATATTCAGAATACATTCTGGAGATGATAGAATAAGAAGATTTTGCTGATGCTTTCATATTGGGGGGATTGAGGGAGGGAATGGGAGGCAACAGAGATGCCTTCATGGGTTTCTGGCTTGGGCAGCTGGTTTCCATTCATTCTGAGGGTGACACGACGTAATGTTCCCCCCAGTGAAAGTTCAGGCCCAGCTAAGGAGGAGCCAGTTTGCAAGTCCACCTGCCTGTCTGCAAAGTGACAGAATCCCAACTCTAGAGTCAAAGCAAGGTTAGTTTGGATGTTATAAAATTTGGAATTATATGAGTCAGAAGCAGCTCCCCTCTAACTCCTGCTAGTTTTCCCCAGAGCTGTGGCCGACTTAACTGAAGATCTGATCTCATTCTGTCCTCAGCCTTTGGGACTTGAAGAGTCACCTAGAGGCTCGAAACATTCATGGGAGATCAGCCATTGATGGGTCTCAGGGCTTGGGCCACACCAGGACCTTCCGCCACCTTAGTTTCTTGGCTTCCTGGCACCTGGCCCCTGAGCTCATTTCTGGTTAGTGTGGAAGGGAACATCCTTCAAAGCCATCCTACATTCATCATTGCCAAGCACATATGGGGGCCTGGCTCTGTTCTAGGCACATGGAGATGGGAGATAGACACTGCCTTTTAGGTACAAACAGCCCTCAGGGAGCACATAACTGTCGAGAGCCCCCAAGGATAAACTTTGAGTGGAGTGATGATGAGTCTCCCTGAGGAGAACCAAGAGGCGGACCTGTTACCAATGATGTGACAGGTGCTGTGAAGGCCACACCTGGCCTGACCTGGTTTGAAGATCAGAAAATACTTCCCTGAGGGTCTGATATTTAAACCTAGACCTGGAGAATGAGCAACCAAGCAGAGACATGTTTAGGGAAGGGCATTCCCAGCAGAGGGAACCCTGGGGCTAAAATGAGCTGGAAGGCTGGGGTGGCTGGAACACAGGGAAGGATGCGGAAGAGAGGCCTGAACTGAGCAGGGACACCAGGGCCAGACCATGCAGGGGTTCAGAAGCCATGCTGAAGGAAGATGGAGAGCCTTCTCATTATTCCCAGAGAAAGGGAAGCCACTTGAAGGCTTTTAGCCAGGGGAATGACTGGCTCTTGATCTGCATTTTATAAAAGCATTTTGACAGCACTGTGGCAAAGTGCAAACAAGAAATGTGGCCTAGACTGAGTGGTGACAGTGGGGATGGAGAAGGGAATGGATTTAGAAGGTAGATTAGATGTCAGGGACGAACTTGGCTTGAGCTCCTGGGTGGCTGATAGGCCATTTACTGAGGTGGGAAAGCTTGGAAGGGGAATCGTAAATTGAGCTTGGGTTTGCAATGAGGAAGCTCTATCGACAGAGTTTATGTGACTCTCCCAAGGCCACTCAACAAGTTTGTGGCAGAACTGGGTCTAGAACCCCAGTCACCAAAAACAGCAGAGCTGGGATTTGAACTCACATAGCCCAACTCCAAGGCCTCTACCCTTACCCACTGTGCCATACCACCTCCTAATAAACTAACAAAATTATGGCCCTAACATTATGCTATTAGTAGTTCCAGTAATGGGGTTGCCTTCAGGCATCATGATCTATGTGAGTGGCACCCTCTGGAGTCAGGACTCGGCACCTGAGGTACCAGCCTACTGTCTGCTCCACCCCCATCCCACTATGCTTTGTCTACAAAGGCAGTAATGACCAGGCAGGCAGCTGGAGGGATCTGGGTGGTCCTGGGGGGCCTGGCTCCTCCACAGTCCCCGTCTCCTGCTGTGTGCCTTCTTGCTAGTCGTAATTTTACCTTTGGGCAGAGAACTCAGTTTTTAACAATCAACAAGGCATTTTATTCTCAGATTTCCAGGCATCTGGTGAGCATTAAGGGCCTCTCTCAACAAGATTTGATTTTTTTATTTCCCTCTCAGATGTGCCAGCGTGGACGGTAGCTTGTCTCTCTGGGACATCCTGAAGGCCACCACAAATAGCCGACACATTCCATCGTCCTCACTATTTGTTTCTCTAAGATCCCTAAAACTAGGCTTCTCTGGTGGCGCAGTGGTTAAGAATCCACCTGCCAATGCAGGGGACACGGGTTCAAGCCCTGGTCCAGGAAGATCCCACATGCTGCGGAGCAGCTAAGCCTGTGCGCCACAACTACTGAGCCTGCATGCCACAACCACTGAAGCCCACATGCCCTAGAGCCCGTGCTCCGCAACAAGAGAAGCCACCGCAATGAGTAGCCCGCGCACCGCAACGAAGAGTAGCCCCCACTTGCCGCAACTAGAGAAAGCCCGTGCGCAGCAACAAAGACCCAGAGCAGCCATAAATAAATAAATTAATTTATTAAAAAACAAAAAAAGTCCCTAAAACTACCTCAGTGGGCCTATGGTTGAGGGTCCCCCAAAACAACAGGCATTTTAACCAAACATTTTACTACCAATTTCCCAACTAGGGAAGGAGGAGTCCTGACCTATTATATGCCCCATGTGGACTCTGCCAGCCAATTCCACATATCAGGGCCTGTGACTTACAACACCCTATATTCTGCATTGTTCTGGGTACTCTTGGTTGCCAATGACAGAAACTTAATTCAGTAACAAAAAAGGAAGTAATTGGTTTCCATAATTGGGCTGTAATAAGGTCAAGTGTAGCTGGATCTAGGGTCAAAGGCTCTCATGGAGATCTCTGTCCCTTCCTAGTTCTCATATGTGTTTGCCTCAGCTTGGCTTTATTCTAAAATGGGCTTTTGCCACTTAACAGCAACATGATCCTTAGATGGTCCTTGATCCCAGAGAAAGATCCTTTCTATCCCATTATTCACATAGCAAATCTCTGGAGGTCTCTGACTGGCCCTGCTCAGGTCACATAACCAGCCTCTCCGTTCAGTCCCTATAAACAATGGAATGGGAGGTGTGGCACCATGATTGACAAGGTCTCCCTCCTTACACAGAAGGCTGGTGGGATCTCAGAGCTTTTGCACCTGTGGTTGTCCCCTTTGCCAGGAATGCTTTCCCCCAAAATCCGTATGGCTGTTTCCTTTTCATTGTTAAGATCTTGGTTTAAGTGTCACGTCCTCAAAGAAACCTGCCCTGACACCCAATTTAAAGTCATTCCCCCGTCACTCTGTGTTAGTCAGGATTCAAGTGTACTAATTATAACAAAAGCCAAAATAACAGTAACTTAAGATGGAAATATACGTTTCTCTCTAAGCAGTCCAGGCTACGTCAGCTATATGGGGTGGTGGGTCACGGCTCCTGCCTCGTTCTGTCATCCTCAACACATCTCCGCTTCTATCTCGTGATCATAGATGGTGGGTCCAGTTCCCACCATCAGGTCCTCTTTTCAGTCAGCAGAAAGAGAAGGGCAAATGGAGGGCATGACGCTTCTTTACAAGGGCTCAACCTGAAAGCTGTACACACCATTCTGCCCTTGTCTGAACTTAGTCACAGGGTCACACCTAGTTGTGTAAGGGAGGCTGGAAAACAGAGCCTGGTGGGGCAGCCCTGTGCTCAGCTAAAACTCAGGGGTTCAATTACTAAGGAAGTTGGAGAGAATGGATATGCGGGCAAATGGCCATTCCCAACACATGGAGTTTCTTGTAATCACGGAAACAGTGCTCAGACTATCAAAGTAAAGAGGTCCTTAGAGACCATCTAAGTAACCACTCTGATTCTATAGATGAGAGACAGACTCAGAAAGGGGTCTTGTCCAAATTCACACAAGTCAGTGGCAGACCAAGGCTGGATTCAGGTCTCCTAACTCCAAGCCCAGTGCTCAAAAGTCGGGGAGGGATTGCAAGGGGTAGAGGTGAGGGATTGCTTTTAGGGGGACTTTCTCCTTGTATGTATTACCTTAGCTTGAAGTGCATTTTTATATTCATGTATTATATCTAACAAGGATATATTCGTGTTATTCATGTAAATTAAGTGAAAACTTGGCCAATACACATGAAAAGGTGTTATCTTCACTAGTCAATGGAGAAATTAAAATTAAAACCGTAATGAGATACCACCATACATCTATCAGAATGCCTAGAATTTAAAAAACAAATAGACAATGCCAACTTTTAAAATATTTATTTATTTGTTTTTGGCTGCACTGGGTCTTCGTTGCTGTGCGCGGAAGTTGTGGTGAGCGGGGGCTACTCTTCACTGTGGTGCATGGGCTTCTCATTGCGGTGGCTTCTCTTGTTGCGGAGCATGGGCTCTGGGTGCGTGGGCTTCAGTAGTTGTGGCACGCGGACTCAGTAGTTGTGGCTCACGGGCTTTAGAGCACAGGCTCAGTAGATGTGCACGGGCTTAGTTGCTCCGTGGCACGTGGGATCTTCCCAGACCAGGGCTCGAATCCGTGTCCCCTACATTGGCAGGCGGATTCTTAACCACTGCGCCACCAGGGAAGCCCAACGATGCCAGTTTTTGAGACTGTGGAGCAAGTGGAATCTCACACGACTGGTACAACCACTTCAGAAAACTTGCCCCATCTACTGAAACTGGACATACACATATGTATAGCCTAGTGATTCCACATCTAGGGATTTACCCAACAGAAATGTGTACAAATGTGACCAACAGATGTGTTCAAGAATGTCCATAGCAACATTTTCTAATATTTGTAATAACCAAAAACTGGAGATAACCCAAATGCCCATCAACAATAAAATGTGGGGTATTCATATAATGGAATATCACAGGAAGGAGAATGAATGACCTGTAACTACTCAAAGCAACATGGATGAATCTTACAACTAAAATTATGAGCAAAGGAAGCAAGACAGAAGAGTGCATGCTGTATTATTCCATTTAGATACAGTTCAAAGACAAGTATAACCATGAATTTAGAAGTCAGCGTAGTGGTTCCCCTTCATGGGAGTAAGTGACTTGGAGAGGACAGGGACACCAGGGTTCTGGAGATGTTCTTTTTCTTGGTCTTGGTGCTGACTGCATAGGTATGTTCACTTTGTAAAAACTCAAGGACATATACACTTCTTTGCACTTTTCTCTATGTATATTTTAATAAAAGTTAAAAAATAAGTAAATGAAATTTGATTTTTTTTTCTTTTTTTTGGCCACACCACGCAGCTTGCAGGATCTTCCCTGACCAGGGATTGAAGCCGCACCCTTGGCAAGCATGGAGTCCTAACCACTGGACCACCGGGGAATTCCCTAAATGAAATTTTAAAGAGAGAGAGAGTGTGTGTGGTGGGCCCAGCCTGGGTTTACTTAGTGCTTTTGGATGAGAATCTCAAGGAAAAAGCCCTCATGTAAGAAGCTTGGTTTCTCAAAGAGAAATAACCTAAGCCAGCAGCCAGTATTATGACATGCCAGGTCCCTCCAGGAGCAATCACCAGGCCAGAGTCCACACAGGGTAGATCAAAGGATGAAACCCTCTAGGAATTTGTCATCTGCCTTAGGAAGGAAACTATACCCAGGAAGTGGACCCATTTTTGAACTGACGAATCAAAAAGAAGCTTGTTTCAAAATAGCAGGACCTCTCATTGGCTTTCCTGTGACATGCAAGGCTCCCTTTTCTCAGCTGAAAAAGTTACTCAGAGAGAGAAAGGCCTGGAGTCAGGCTCTCCCTTGCCAGCCAAGGTCTGAGACTCTGACCTTTGTGTTTCCTCACAGGCCTGAGCCCAGTGAGGGTGAGGCAGTTCTGAATGAAATGAACAGGGCAGCCTTGGCATATAGGAGGATGTTTTGTTTTTATTTTTTTAAAAAAAGGGGGGGTAAAAAAAAATAAAAAATTTTAAAAGGGGGGGAGGTGGAGGGAAGGAAGAAAGAAAATTGCATGCATATTTGTGTGCTCCTAGAAAAATGTCTGATAGCATAACAACCAAAACTGCAGCAATCCCTGGGAGGTGGTTGGGAAATGGGGAGGCCATTGCCCTTGCTCAGCTGTACTTGTCCTTAAGCTTCACCTGGCTGCCATTCAGATCTTTTGCTCCTCCCCTAACTGGTTCATCCAAAGAGGTCCCCCGTCACTGCTCATGAAACCATTGTTTTCTACCTCCATAGCTCTTACCACTTCTGAAATCTTGATTTTTGTCTGCCATGCCATGTTGCATGAAGGCAGGAACCCCGTCTTATTTCTCGCTATATCCTCCGTGAAGAACAGGGTCAGGCACAGAGTAGATGTTCAATAAGCAGTTAGTGAATGAATGAGGTTGGGGTTTTGCTTCTCACTTTGTACACTTTGTATTTTCAAACGTTTTGAGATGAACGACTTTTTTTTCATCAAAAGAAAAAAAAAATCAGCAGGTTACTGCAGAGGATTCTACCCTCAGCAAATTGTCTTGGGTTAAGACAGGTTTCCACCTGAAAGCAATTCCCTCCTAGTACCGACGGGGTACTCAGACCAGAGAGGGGCAGCGCCTTGCCCAAGTTTACCCAGCACTCAGCAAGCCAGACCGGGACCCAAATTCCCCCCTCCCAAATCAGGCTGGTTACCTCCGGGGAGTGGGGAGCGGTGTCTGGATCCTTGGGAGGAGGAGTGGGTCTTCAGAAGAGGCAGAGAGGGTCACGGAAGGGACGGGGAGGGCAAAGGAGCACGGTGAGGGGGAACTAGAGTTCCGGGTTGAGGAAGGTGAAGCTGCAGCGGGAGCGAGCGGAGAGGACAGAAAGGAGAAGTGGAGGGGGCGGGGCGAGGCGAGGTGGAGGAAGCAGGTGGATTGCTGGGTCACGGGAGAAGAGGGTCGCCGCTGAGCTTCTGCGCCCTTTCCCGAGCGGGCGTGCGGCTGCGGCTTCCTTCTTGACCGGCTTCCCCGCGAGGCAGGTGGGTCGTGTGCCCCGGGGACTGGCGCGGGAGGTTCCGCTGCATACCGCAGGGGTAGAGATGTCGCTCTAGCAGAAGGCTACCTGGACTTTGGCGTCACCGAACCCTGGAGGCGGGGAGGGAGAGTGAGCAATTCAGGCCTGCAGCCAGAGGTCCCAACTTCGGCTTCCAGAAATGGAGAACGCAGTGGGCCCTTTGTTCTAGTCTTAGCTATGCCAGTGGCTCCCTGCGTGAAGCTGGACGAGTTCCCGCCCCTCTTTGGGCCTCCGTCTACCTATCTGCAAAGTGTGAGGGTCTTTGGACGGGTCTCCCTAAGTTCCAGACTGACTTAAATTCATTTCCTTGACAAACTTCCTCTAGGGCTTGTCCCCAGATTCACCAGCCAGGTCCGTCCGTCCCTCAGCAACAACTTGGCAGCACTCTGAACTCTGGCCCCTCAGGTTTTAGCTGAACAGGTTGCGTGTCTGGAATCAGTTCCGTCTGGGGCAAGAAGCTGCGTCCAGCCTCTAGACTTTAGGCTGAGGAATTTGTTTTCTGTGCACTGGGTCAGTAATCCTTCACTGGCTCTCCACCCAGGCAGGCGTCATCATCTGGGGCTGAGAGAGGCTTTAAGACAGATAGGAAGAGGCTGCTCTGTCCTGCCTTTTGTCCTGGGCTGTACAGGTTCACTAAAATCAGATTTTTTTTTTTTTTTTTTAATCCAAGTATGTCTAAGCAGTGGAAGGGAGTACTGGCCAGAGAATGTGGAGGTTTGGGTTCTAGTCCTGGCTGTGCCGCTGGCTGGCTGTGACCTTAGGCAAATATCTGCCCCTCTCTGGCTCAGTCTTTCCCAGCTGAACAGTCAAGGGGTGGGTCAGATGGTCTGCAAGGACTCTGCTGTCTTTCACATTCCGAACAATAGTAATAGCAGTCATAATAATGGTTTCCTTAGCTGACCTACGAGGCCCTGCCTTAGCTGGCCCCTATCTACCCAAAGCACCAGACTCCTTGCCCTGCCTCAGGGCCTTTGCACTTGCTGTTTCCAGTGCCAGGAATATTTAATCATCTCCATTTCCTGAATAGGCTTTCTCAGATCTCCACTGACACGTCACTTGCTTAGGAAGTTCCCCGACAACAAAGACTAAATCGGGTTTCTGGATTGATATCCTTCCTCATGGTACATGCTGTCTTCATTATGCTTAAGTATTCATGTAGTTCTTTGTCTGATAGCTGTATCCCCTGTTCTTTAATGCCTGTGCATGCCATGAGGCCTAGAAAACTGTCCCTTTCCCAACATCTAGCACATAATAGGGGGAGTGAACAGACAATCTCATTTAGTTCAACAGTCTTATGAGGTTGAGTCACTGTGCTCTTCTTACACATGAAGAGACTGGGCTTCAGAGAGTGACACTCTTAGGGTCACACAGTGAGTTGGCAGTGTCAGAATTTGAACCCAGTCTGTCTCAGACTCCGAGGCCTGAACTTCCACTTCACTTGCCCTCACACTCCAGAATCTTCTGCTGTGAAGATGTTACCTAAGTGCCAGCAGATCTGACCCACGAAGCCTGGAAAGAGAAGACCATCAGGTTGTTGGGCGTGGTGCCGTCCAGCTCCACCTCCCCTAGAGGCCCCCGGACCTGAGGCAGAGGTGGAAGTGGGGTGGCCTGGCCCCGCTCCTGCAGACCCATGGCGCGTCGGCTCCAGTTACTGACATGGGACGTGAAGGACACGCTGCTCAGGCTCCGCCACCCCGTGGGGGAGGAATATGCCGCCAAGGCCCGGGCCCATGGGCTGGAGGTGGAGGCCGCGGCCCTGGGACAGGCCTTCGGGCGGGCGTATAGGGCTCAGAGCCACAGCTTCCCCAGCTATGGCCTGAGCCGTGGCCTCACCTCCCGCCAGTGGTGGCTGGATGTGGTCCTGCAGACCTTCCACCAGGCAGGCATTCGGGATGCCCAGGCTGTGGCCCCCATCGCTGACCAGTTGTACGAGGACTTCAGCAGTTCCCGCACCTGGCAGGTGTTGGAGGGGGCTGAGGCCACCCTGAGGGGGTGCCGAAAACGAGGTCTGAGGCTGGCAGTGGTCTCCAACTTTGACCGACGACTGGAGGACATCCTGGCGGGTCTTGGTCTGCAGGAACACTTCGAGTTTGTGCTGACCTCCGAGGCTGCCGGCTGGCCCAAGCCCGATCCCCGCATTTTCCATGAGGCCTTGCGCCTTGCTCAGGTGGAACCGGCAGTGGCAGCCCACATTGGGGACAGTTACCAATGTGATTACAAGGGAGCACGGGCCGTGGGTATGCACAGCTTCCTGGTGGCTGGCCCTGAGCCTTTGGACCCTGCGGTCAAGGATTCTGTACCCCAAGAACACATCCTCCCCTCACTGTCCCATCTCCTGCCTGCCCTTGACTGCCTGGAGGGCTCACCCCCAGGGCTTTGAGTCTGGCGAGGGAAGCAGTCGGCCCCAACAGACACTGGAGACAGGGAGCTCCTTCCTTCCCTGAGATCTGGCCTTCACCCCCCCCCCCCGACCCCTGCAGCCTCCATAATGCATTCCGACTATAAAGCAGTGAATGCGGGGCATTCAGCCCTGCGCCACTAATCAGCTCCTGGTCTCAGATGCTTCATTCCTCACACCTGTGTCCATTTTCTACCATGAGTACCCCCTCACCTCCAACAAGATTCATGAGGGCCCAACTAGCTTCAAAACCAACACTTTCAAACTTTCTTTTTAGCAGCAGGGCCTTTCGTCATGGGAGAGCTTATGTGGAACCCCAACATGCAAATCAGGAAAAATGAAAAACTGCTAGGGTTGAAGCAGAGGCCCTGGGGCCCTTCATTCAGGCCCTGAAGCCTCTGCGACTCTCCCCTGAGAAGCCTGAGATCAGAGCTTAGTACCTGCGGGTACTGGAGTTCTCATTTAGGCGTGTCTGACTCCGAAGCCCATTGGCTTGACTGCGAGGTTACAAGTAGAATGGGATCCATGTCACACAAGGCATAATGCAGTGGGGATCCAGGGAGAATAGAGAAGGTGTCCTAAGGATGGTGGTCTTGAAGGGCACCCCAGTCATAGGAATAGCTTGGGGGTGGGAAAGCACAGGGAACAGGGACTGGAACACGAGGTGGCAGGAGTGCAGGGAATATGGGGGGAATCACTGGAGATTGAAGTAGGTTGGGCTTTTAAAATTCCATGTCTCTTCCTGCCTTTCCCCCTTCACACACCTCTCTACGTCATATTTACTGGACACCTGTGCCTTGCCCAGTGCCAGGCACAGGGGGTATCACAGGTAAAAAGCACACAAACAGGCATACACAGTGTATGTTCTGGTGCCAACAGGCAGGGAGGGCTCTGGAGTGGCCCCTGAGCTGGGAGTGGCCCGTAGATGGGCAGAGGGATAAGAGGGGCATTCCTGGGCGTAGGCC